CATCAGTTTATGTCACGCCTGTTTTCATATGGAGATTGTTTTGGGATTGCTTCAAAACAAAACTACGCCACAGGATGTGTATGCGAGCGCTCAAAGCTTCCACATACTGTTACCAGCTACATAGTAAATGAACTGGAGTCATGTCATTATGAATCACAGTGAATGGATGAATAAACTCTGAGCTTCTAGTGCAGTGTTTTCACCGCCTGATTAAGAAATGGCCAAAAAAAAAAACCCAACTACTGCAAAATGAACGACTTCATGTTTCTCCTTCCAATGGAAAATCAGCAGAAACAGCCTCATGACTCACATCAGGAATCTGCTGTTATTATTATTCCATTTCTTTATGGAAAAGGTCGTGCTCCTCTGAACTCTACAGGTCGGTGATGTGCACAGACCTGAAGCTGGTGAGCTCACAGCTTCCTTGGCTTGTGGTTTGTGATGTGATTGAGCAACATTGTTTACTGACGTACGTGCCTTAGACTTGATGACTCCACTTCTGAAAACTGCTGGTGATTGTGTCAAGTCCGGCAGCATCTTTTGAAAGGAAAATAATTCTGGTTAATCGTAACACTGTTGTCAGCTACGTTGCATCAGCGTACAGAGAAATACACAGCAAATGGGATGAACAGGACAAAAATCACACAAACTCCTTTATAGTTTTAGAACACGGCCATGCTCCAGCACTCTTAAGCCGGCCCACCAGCTTGGTCCAGAATAAAATATCAACAACTTTTAGATGGATTAACGTGAAGCTTTGTGTTTCATGGCTCCCAGAGGGTGAATCCTGCTGACTTTAGTCCCTTTGGTGCTAGCATCAGGTCAGACTTCTAATTTGTCTGAAACGTTTCAACATGACAACAAAGGAGAGGCTGAGAGAGAAGTTCAGACCTCGTTTACAGTATTTGTCACCTCTGCACGGCAGGCCAGTCACAAGAGAAACAGGTGTCAGTGTTGGAAACTTACAGAAACTGTCAAATGTCATAATGTTGTGGAGGGAGGGGGTCTCCGAAGCTGTCGTACCATCTGACAAACAGGTCTGTCAAAGCAGAGACCATCGTTTGTGAGATCTTGCAATGGGCTGCACTATGTTGTGAGCTGTTGCACGTGTGTTGTCTGACTACACATGCCTTGGAGCGCCCTGCAGCTGCCTTTGCTGACGGCGCAGTGGGGGTGTACTAGACCAGAGCTGCTGCTGCTGCTTTCTGGGCCCTTCTCGTAAAGCCGCTGTGAAAGCTTCAGGGCGCTGACCAGGACGAGGAGAACGAAAATGAGAGCAGGGTCGGCTGCTGCTTGAGAGAAAGATGGAAAAATACAAAGGCAGGAAAAGGCTATTTGCCAAAGCCAGGGACAAATCCAGGAGCAGTGCCAGTTTGGTTGGAAATCCTGCACTGTGTTCAGCTCCTGAGGGCATGAAAAGGTGCCTGTATGAAGAATAACTGGTTTGTGTGGCAGTGATAGTTTATACATGACTGAAAGCAGCATATACATGACATGGAGATATGAAGATCAGAAGAGTAATGACGGAATGTGTTAGGCTTTCTACACGCTGCTATCTGATTCCACACACGCATTGTTTGTTCTCCCTGAATGTGTGTGTGGGCACCGTGAAAGGCTTTAAAGTGGGTACCTCTTGATAGATTCCTGTTTGTTTTCAAGGCACCAGATCAAAGTCGGTGGCCTTAAAATTAGCTCGGAGGGCTTTGCATTGTATGTCACCGCTGAGTAACGACCCAGAGGAGCCAGCGAGTCCTTTAATGTCGATCCAAAAACCAGACATTCCACTCCGTAACACCATTTCACAGGTGAGCGCTGTGTCAGCCTGCATGAAACTAATTCCCACAGGGAGCCTCTGCAGCAGCACGGTGAATACTAATGTAATGATCCTGGCTTCATCCTGTTACTCTATATGGATATACGATCCAAACTCACATTGTGGAGGAAACGAGAGGCCCGCAGAGGCAAAGCTATTCTCAGAGACAGAAGCGGATTATGTGACGATCCATATGCAGGCACTTTATGCCAAGGGAGAGGACAGACGTGGACGAGAGATGGTGGTGAGGAGACACGGGGATGAGGAGGAGGTGTGGGGGTGCGCAAGAAGGAGGAGGTGGGAGAGAACGAGGGAGAGAGAGAGAAACAACAGTGTTGCCAAAGCTTGTCTGTCATTCTGTGCGTCATTCGGCCTATTCCCAGGCTCAGACGCAGGTACAGTATCTGCACAGGTCAGTGTGAATATGCACGCACACAAAACACACACTCTCTCACTCTATCAACACAAACTGGAAATATCCCCTTTCATCCGCTGCCACAGTCTAATTAGATTCCACCACCACAGTCCTTTTCCCTCCACAGCTCTCTCTCTTTTCTTACCTCACTCTCTCCATCTCACTGGAGCACTGCAGACCTTCTGGCTGTTTCCCTGGCAACAGCTGCTTCCTGTTTGTCTGTCTGTGTTGCCATGGAGGAAGAGTAGGGGTGAGGATGATGATGGTGGTGATGGCGAGGGGCGGCTCACTAATGACAATAATGTGACCCTGAAGTAGACATGGTGTTACAGAAGCAGCAGCCTCATGTGCAACAGTTTTCCACAAATCCACAATGTGTGCTGAGCCTACAGGAAGATAGACAAGAACCTCTGCTTCTGTTCTACACACAGTGTTTCAGTGATGCTTCCATGCACCAGCTTTGTGTGTGGAGTCACCTTTTGACAACACAGATGAGTTTTGTCAACCTTTAGAGCTGAGCAGCTGCGTTGTCCTCGGCCTGCTGGGAATAACCCAATTCAATGGAAACAGTCATCACAGCGTCGCAACATCTGCACCATTTAATTTCTCATTAACCTATCCAAGTAACACATGTTGTACGTTTCTGAGAACAGGCACGTCAGCATTAGCACCTCCCCCCCCGGCTGTGCTGTCACTCACTCCCACAGGTGACAACTTGAAAAGTACTGTCTGTGGGTCTAGCTACAGATCAGCGCTTTGAAGTACTTGTGTCTTTATACAGAAAGAAGCCATAGTGGCAGCCGGCATGTTTGTCTAAGCATACCCGTAGCTGAGTGCTGCCTTCCTCACAAGCCATGTTTGATAAATGCCCAGACTTGACATCAGAACTTTGCTCCCCAGGCATTTGTTTAAAGAAGAG